ACTAAATTAAAAACTCAATTCGCTTACGTATCTAATTGCCAGACTAGTTTCGGGAGCTTCAATCGTCTCCCATCTTCAATGGCCGTGTACCGTCGAATTAAAATTACCACTTAATTTACGTCAGTCCAATGAAGTCCCTATCTACAATCCTTGATAAGTATTAAACTCTCCTTCCTCTCCAGACTTTCCGATCATAGCATTGAGAATACTGCAAAGTCCTAAGGAAAAATGTCGTATAAGCAATAGGATATTGCCAAATTTCTCCCGAAAAAAATTAATTTCTGGGAGAAATTATGCACAATTTTCCTCGAAATTTTCAGATCTTTTAGATCAAGGTAGAAATATAAGTATCGGGAAAATTGACAAAAAAATAGTCAAAACTTGGTCAGAAATCTCGCGTTTTATCAAGAACACTTCGGCAATGTCTGAGGGCGCATACTACGTTTCTCCTTCGTGCGGCGATAAACTGATAAATCGTGACATTCGCTCACCACGGCAAAGTTCTGACTACTTGACCACTGTTACGACTCCAGCAAATAGCCCAATTAAGGGTAATTATGTCATCCTGTCGTAGTCCCATCCAAACACGAAAGCATTGTGTCGAGGAAAAACGACGGTTCAATAGTCGAGACGATCGCTTTTCTTGAAATGCAAGCACAATTTTTAGCTTATTGTGATTAGCGGTTACATCAGAGAAAGGAGCCACTCCCAAGAACGGATGTAAAATGAAATTTTTCAACAAGAATCAGCATAAAAACATCAGATATTCCAACGTGGCTTATTTGTTGTTAACAAGCACAAAACAACATGCTGGCGTAAATTCCGAGAATATATCTCTTACGATCCTAGAATCAGGGAAATTTCAGGGCCATGTATTTCTTTTATGTAGTTTTCTTAAAATAATAAAACACGAGAGATCATCATAGGCAACGTGTGCAGTTAGGCTGAAATTAGTCAATACCGTCCAAATTATCGCTGATCTGATATCTATTTTAATACGAAACGCAAAATTCCATAGTCACACAGTACGACTGGAAATTGCCAAAACCTGAATCAGCCAAACTACATCGGACGTTGCCTATAATTTCTTTTCAGATTTTGCATTTTCTGACGTAAAACTATGCAAGAATCCGAATTTCATTTTTTTGAAGTGTCAAGTAGGTAATGTCGTGTGGTTCTCCGATAAAACTATAAAGCACGAGAAGAAACTGGACAAAGTGAAATACATACAGACTGATTCTGGTTAAATCCGCCCAAGTGATTATTAAAAACCTCTGACCTCCGCAGTCCAGAACGGTCCTCTTGTGACGGAAGTATCGACTCCTAAACGTTCAGACTATCAATAGACAAACAGGAATTGCAGGACACAATTACTGTCCGGCGACAACATCTTCATCAGAGTATTGTCACGGTAAATGTTGCAGAAAAATTACTCGCTAATAATGATGCTCCGTTGATTATCAAAGCTGCAGTGGGTGGGGGATTATTATCGCGCCGCCTAGACGCAACGTAAGCAAGCACACAGTGATTAGCCGCTCGGTTGATCAATGTTGACGGTCGGTGAGGCTGTAACTTGGCATTTATGACTTATTCTATAAACGGTGATCAATTGTGAAAGTAATCAGTAACGCACCTCAATCAGAAAGCAACTACTTTACGACTCCGTTTATATCTCAGGGCGAGCTTATAGACTGAGTTGCTGTCAGTCGCTACTTGCTGGTTCCACTGAGAAATATGCGTTATTTTGATGAACGATCGTTTTGTCGCACTCATTAGTGGTGGCAAAATGTAACGGTGATTTGTATGTGCGGCATGATTTACGCATCTGTACCCCTAATTTATGAAAAATCTGTTTTTTCTTCCATGTTCGGAAAAAAGAGCGGCCAAGACAGATAGAGGGTTTTTCATTCATGCCTGGTACATTTATTGTTCAGGTGGCCAGGGAAAGAAAAAAACTCCTGAAAATGTGGCCGTGGTCCGAACTGTGAATAAGAAGATGGTAGAGTAGTGCTGAGACGACACTAATCTGCAGTAAAATCAAGGACACAAAATTCCAAAAACTTGTAATTGGAGTTAGATTTGACCTTTAATAACCGTAACATAGAGTTTAAATTTAAATTCTAAATAAGAGATTAAATTTTCACTCTAATTCAAAATTTTTGGAATTTTTAGCCTCGATTCTCCCGCAGGTTTGTGTGGACCCAGCGCTATTAAACCACCTTGATTACCAGGAAAAGGTCTGTATCTTAGGGTCCAACCCTAGGCTTTCCTATTCCAATTTTCTACCGTAAGCCCTACCAAGAATTTTTCATCCGGGGCACCTGTCTGATGCTGATGCTCGTCCTCATATACTGCGATCAGTGGCGGGGGTGGCGTGGCGTACTTTGCGATATATCGATTGTTCTGTCATTTAAACCTATGGGAAAGGATCGATAAACAGGGCGTTCGCAGCGAACACCTTAATAATCGATTCTTTACCATAGGTTTAAATGGCAGAGCAATCGATACATCGCAATTCACGCCACGCCACTGACTGCGATCGAAAATTTGTCGGCTGTGCTGTCGTGTAACTGCATGCAACCGCCAGGCAAACAGTGGAACCAGTAGTCGGGGGTGCGGGAGGTGGATCGTGTTTGTTCTGCAGGAGGAACATCGAACATGCGCACGCATAGTAATTTGCGCGCTATTCTCTTCTGCGCTGCTGCCATTTATGAAACCAGAAAATGAAAAATATAAAAATGCTCGGCTTAAAATCTAATTAAATCGGTGGTCTGGCATAAAGCTTAGTGCTCGCTGAAAGTCGTACTCAACAGGGGAAATCTTTTCTCCTTCTTTTATTTTGGGTCGCTTCACTACACTAAGCATTTGCTGTTCAGTCACCGAACAATGTAGCGATAATACCCAACATGACGTCACAATCAGCAAACATGGAAGCGACTGATTCAGGCGCGAAATTATTCCCGATCTGATCACATCATGTGAGTGCAGGTAATAAGCACTAAAAAAAGCTCAACAAAGGAAGAAAATTGAAACTTTATTGTTCGCCGTTCGCGTAGAAAAGGATCGGGACACAGAGAAACATTTTTTAAATGTTTTTTTCCTCTTCTACTCGCTGTTTCCTCTCCTTATGTCTCTTCTTCCTCCTCTTGGTCCAGCTTCTTTCCTCTAATTTCTAATGAGTTCTAGTCTAGCGAATGCGAAAAGTTTTTAATCCTATTCTGTCAGACTAAAGGTACATTAAATTGATTTGTTTTAAACCTTGAGTCACTGGATCGACACGCATGCACAGATAGAGATTCCTGAATTGCGAAAGAATCTAATTCCGGTTTCGAAAAACCGTGGTTTATCGCACAGCATTGATGCATCGATGTGCGGAAAAGTACCTTAATATTTTGACTGATCTGAAAATCGATATACGCATTATAAAACCATTTTAATCTGATGAAGAAATGATAGGAAACGTTCACTCCTTAATCACGTGATTAAGCAGGCAATCAGCAATTCAAGATCGGAAGAAGGAATCTATTTCCGGACGCTAAGGATCTGATCAATTTTGAGTTTTCAAATTTCTTTCTCAATGTTTAATCACTGGGTACCAATGAAACGACAGTGTCTATCGTATCATTTCTTCCGTGGCGCCCTGATATTAAACTTTTCAGCAATCTGATTTCTAAGAATAGGAGTAAATTTCGTAATGAATTCGTAAATGAAATTCATGAAATACGTGGCGCTCAAAGGGGTGGTTGCGGGAAGAGCGTTACGGGATAATGTGTTAAAGTATAGGAACCTACGCCACAAAAGCGTTACTAGGGGGAGCTGGAAGGGGTCGAAAAATCCCAAACGGAGCGTCATGCATTTTATGAACTTTTAATTTTCGGCAGGGCGGTGTACCAGATTAAGTTCAGGAATTAGAGGATTAGTGACGAGAATTGACCCTATCAGTGTGCTATGTCTCAGGGCCGGATTTACCTACTTGCCGCCCTTGGGCCGCCTGTATTTTGCCGCCCCTTCTCATTCGTTTTGAAACATCAATAAAAACCATCAAGTGAACGTGCCGGAGGGGGAGGGGTGCATAATACGCGTTTACCTACTCGTTTTGGATACATTTTTTTGCGAAAGCCCTTCAACACTACTAGCAAAATTTCATGGAACTTGACACGAAAGTTAAGTTCCGTAAACCTATCTCTATGTGGACAAGATCCTCCATTTATAAGAAATGAACCAAAAAATTATGAAAGAACAAACAGAAATGTGGTTTAATAATTTTAACTTCCGCCGCTGCGCCGCGCCGCGCTGATCGCACTGTGTTCGGCGCAATGCGTGAAGTATTTCTGCAGTCTTGTAGGCGCTATGCATTTCAGCCAACCGCTCCTGACCGCGTGACCGCACTGTGTTTGGCGCAATGGGTAAAGTATTCATGCAGTCTTGTAGGCGCTAATATGTGCTATATGCTGACCGCCGCGCCGAGGGCTTGTCCTTTTCATCTCAAGTTCTCGTCATCATTCCTCTCTGCGCTGAGCTCCAGGCAAAATTGCGTGCTTAGTTCCCCTCTTGACTCGGCTAATTAAAGATGCTGTCTCTTGTATCACCGAAAAACGACAAAATTAGAAATTACTGAACTCTCAGGAAAAAGAGATTTTGTTTCCTTTCCTTATTGATAATTTTTTTTTCTGAATCCGATTTTTTTCACACCTAGATCTACAAAAATTGCAAAATTTGCCGCCATGGGCCGCGGCTCATATGGCCACCCCCTTAATCCGGCCCTGCTATGTCTTTCTCTGTGTTATTCTGTTGTTGGTTCTGTCAGCATGGAGGTAAAAATTTCAGCATTGAGTCTGCGTCGAAAAATGTATTTTATCGCGCGCCAACGGATCAACACGAGCACGAAAAATATCTAAGAGTGTACTTTCTATATATTTTTTTTTTTTTTTACATGCTTAAAGGATAATTTTAGTGCTTAAAGTTTCTAACAGCCTTTGCGTTTTGCTTGTTTGTTCCAGAACACGATCGCCAAAATATGGTTGCAACATACGATGCCGATCGTGTGAACAACAGAAGATCGGAACCGTACAGCCGGCGATCCTCGAAGGACAAGGACAGAGACGACAAGGATGTAGTCACCGTCTCCGTGAGCACGGGCTACACGAACAAAGGCTTCAAAGGCGACAACGACAACGACCTAGCCAAACCCCCGGTAGAACCCATAGAGGACGAGTCCATCCCCAAGGGCAAATTCAAATTATCTAGGAAAGAAAAATGGCGGATCCTCAAGAACATCGCCGCCGTGAGCTTGGCGTTCATGGTCCAGTTCACAGCCTTCCAGGGCACGGCCAACCTCCAAAGTTCCATCAACGCCAAAGAAGGTCTCGGCACGGTATCCTTGTCGGCCATATACGCTGCCCTCGTAGTTTCCTGTATTTTCGTCCCCACGTTCGTCATCAAGAGGCTGACGGTGAAATGGACCCTGTGCTTGTCGCTCCTGTGCTACGCGCCGTACATCGCCGCGCAGTTCTACCCCCGGTTCTACACGCTGGTGCCGGCCGGTGTCCTGGTCGGACTGGGGGCCGCGCCCATGTGGGCCGCCAAAGCCACGTACCTCACGCAAGTCGGAGCTATCTATGCTAAGCTCACCGATCAGCCCGTCGACGGAATCATCGTCAGGTTCTTCGGATTCTTCTTCCTGGCCTGGCAAACCTCAGAGCTCTGGGGAAATTTGATCTCATCTTTAGGTAAGCATGTTCCCATTACTATTCTGCCATGCTAAGGAGAAACGCCGTATGGACGATAAAGTGTATATTTTTGAGGGGAGTTAGGAATATTTTTCCTTGAAATTTTCAGGAACTTCAGGTGGGATTGCGAACAAAATTATCTGGAAATTGGAAGAAAAATATTTACAAATGTTCCTGAGAATTCGTGATTTACCAAGGGAAATTTGGCAACGCTTGAAGGTTCATACGCCGTTTTTCCTCAGCACGCCAATATTGTCGTAAAACACTTGATCGTCCACGGGTAGAATAGCAGTTGAAATTGTTGATATCACTGCACATAGGTGTGCTTTCAGAGACCCCCCGCAGCATTTTAGGGGGCTTTATCCTGGATTTTTGGTGCGGTAGTTGGCTTGCAATAGATCGCGTCGATTAAGTAAAAAATCTTGGCATATTTTGACTTTTTCGACAAAACATCGATGAAAACCCCTGCGCGAGAGTCTAAAAATTATTCGCGACGAAAAAATGTCGAAATTCGACTGTGCCGTCGCTGCTAACGTCACTGCTGCTTTACAGTTCCCATGCATTCTTATCGTCCAGAACTAACGAGCACTCCCCATCTTTCCCACCCACACATAGTTCTTTTGGTAGAAATACGTCCAAATCAAGGAGATGTCACTTCATTTGCCTCGCAGGGTATGAAAAATGAAACAAACTCTTCAAAAAAGAAACTCCCTCCTGCGGTGCAGCTCGAGGAATTTTGGCGCTTTCCTATGCGGAAATTGCCATTTCCACGCGGCTGTAAGTAAAGCCTGCAGCGAACGATATCGGAGCCATTAATCGATGGCGCACGATTGTCCTCCTCGGCGCATTCCGACAAGCGGTTACAGCCGGTTATTCAACCAGGCTCGGAAGACGCGCTGGAAACGATGAAAACTCACTCTCGCGCGGCACGTGACGCGCGCCGTCGCGCGATAATTTCACATCTTCATTAAATGTAAATCCACGCTCGCTTATGCTCTATCACTGATGCGGCCCGGTGTCGGTGTCGCCCGGTGCGCGGTCCTTGGTGCAAATCGCAGAGGTGTGCGCTGCGCCACGCCGCACCGCGCCTCACGCGGCCTCTAAAAAGCGCCTATCCTCAGAATTTTATCGACGACTTCGGATAAGTCGCTTCCGGTTCAGCTTCGCTGAGGCATAGGTACTATTTCCCGTTTTTCCGCGAGTGGTGACTTCCGGCTCTTCTCAAAGGTGTTATCATAGAAGGATGTCAGCGGCCTGATTGCTGATTTTGATAGACAAAGAAGACATAGAGCGATCTCATTGGTGAAAATGGTTGGTTCCTGTAGACTGAGGGAGAAAATTATGGACTTATGGGCTTAGCATGGTCTCTCTTTGACTGCTGTTAGTTAATCTATTTCATACCTTCTTCATCCATTGCAACCGCTCGCTTCCACCAATAGGATCCTTCCATACGCGGAAAAAAGCGATTTAGTGCTGAGCACTAACTGCTTAGATCAAATGGAGCCATCTGATACGGCAGTACTGCTGAGACCTACCTAGCTTGGACTCTAATGTTGTAGGGCTCAGCACTACTGCCATACTAGTTGGCTCCATTTGATCTGAACAGTTAGTGCTCAGCACTATATCGTTTTTTCCGTGTATTCTTTTTGTCTTCTTTGTCTACAGCTTTGTCTATCAATTTCAAAAATCAGTCCGCAGTATGACATATTTCTGCTAAATGGAACTATAGAGTGAGAAACATGAGGTATGCTCTTAGAGAAGTGGAAAAGAAACAATGTAAAAGTGGGCATGCTTCCCTTTGGAGGAATGGAGAAGCGCGAGTTTTTGAACTTTTTCAGATTTTTTACCTCCCCTCCTCCCCCTTGTAACGCACCCGTAACGCAGCCCTACACCCCCTTTTGAATTACGTAACATCGGCTTACCCCCCCCCCCCCCCCCCCATCCTCGAATTTTAAAAACGCTTGTTCGAGAAGGGCGGAATTTTCAATTTTTTGCACGTTTTCTCAAAGTTATTTGTTTCCCCCGGCTCGGATTTGTTACGTAACCCTGAGCTCGACTCCCCCTCTCCCTTGTAACGCACCATAACGCTGGCACAAACCCCTCCCCCCTAAGTGCGTTACGTAATACCTCAAACACCCCTAAAAAATGTTGAGACAGAGAAGAGGTTGGAAAAATTCATGATGGATGAACGATTGTTAGCATCGCATGATCAGCTCCTAAGTGCGTGGAACCAACAAAGATTGTACATGCATACTGAGAAAAAACTACGGTAATAATTACTATATTAGTGGTGTTCAATATGAACTCTTCATTAGTTGATGCCATAACCAATAATAGAGATATTTTTACCATCAAATGGTAATTTTCAGGGCCGGATTTACCTACTTGCCGCCCATGGGCCGCCCCCTTCTCATTCGTTTTGAAACATCAATAAAAACCATCAAGTGAACGTGCCAGCGGGGGTGGAGTGCATAAGACGCGTTTACTCGTGTTAGAAACATTTTTTGGGAAAGCCCTGTCAACACTACTAGCAAAAATTCACCGAACTTTGCGCGAACGTTAAGTTTCGTGAACCTATCTCTGCGCGGACAAGGCCTTCCATTCATAATGAATGAACGAAAAAATTATGAAAGAACAAACATAAATGTACTTCAATGATTTTAACTTCCGCCGCCGCGCCGTGCAGACCGCACCGTGTTTGGAGCAATGCGTGAAGAAACGCCGACGACCGTTGCTGAACGCATACTGTGTTTGACGCAATGCGTGAAGTATTCACGCAGTCTTGTAGGCGCTATGCGTTTCACGCTGACCGCACTGCTTTTGGCGCAATGCGTGAAGTATTCATGCAGTCTTGTAGGCGCTAATATGTTTTACATGCCGACCGCCGCGCCCAGGGCTTCTCCTTCTCATCTCAAGTCCTCGTCATCATTTCTCTCTCAGTCGCGCCGTTCCTGGCCAAATTGCGTGTTTGATCTCTCTCTTAACTCGATTAATTAAAGGTGCTGTCTCTTGTATCACCGAAAGACGACAAAATTAGAAATTACTATACTCTCAGGAAATGAGAGATTTTGTACGTATTAGCGGCTCTGGTGCTTGCACTAGAGCTGCTATTCCGGACGGTCCCAGCTGGGGAGTATCAATGGACCATGTTACATTGGAGAGACCGCGCGTTGGTTGATGGGAATCGGCGCCATTTTCGACTATGTACCTTGTCATGACTTTATTTTATTGCATATTGTTTCATTGTTAGCCAATGCTATGTTGTGTAGTGTATTTTTGGAATCATGGTGATACAGTCAATAATTCAAAACTTGTCTGTGCTTTAATCTCGTGACGGAAAAAATGTACTTTACGTTCAAAATTTGAAATTTTGAATTTTAAAGTTTTCGCGGTTTTTTGGAAGAATGCAGTGGTTGGAGCTTCCTAGGCATATTACTCGATATCAGCTGATAGCAAACAAAGGTTACCAAGGAAACCGTAAACGTACAACTACCGTCGCCAGAGCCGCTTTCCGACGCGAATGCGTTGGAGCTTACTGCTTGTTTTTTTTTCTAAATCCAATTTTTTATAAACCTACATTTAAAAAAAATGCAAAATTTGCCGCCATGAGCCGCGGCCCATGTGGCCACCCCCTGAATCCGGCCCTGGTAATTTTACTACCGCACACTTGTAAAATTACGATTGCTCCGGTAAAAATATCACTATTATTGGTTCAAGCCACTACCGATTAAGAGTGCATATTGAACACCACTAATATGGTAATCATAACCGTAGTTTTTTCTCAGTGCATGTGCAATCTTTGTTAGTAGAGACGATTTCTGATGAATGACCTCCTATTTTTTTATTTGATACAGTGTTATCCGGTGGAGCTCACGGAGGCGGACACGACCACAACACGACGGTCTCCGAGGAGGCTCTCCGATCGTGTGGCTCCAATTTCTGCGTCCTCGGCAACAAGGGGCTCCAGAACCTGAACCGACCCCCCGATTCGGAGATCTACGAGATCAGCAGCATTTACTTAGCATGTATCGTCTTGGCCTCCATCATGGTCGCCCTTTTCGTCGATCCTCTCTCAAGGTAATCATTCTCACGCTTTACTTATTCAGTTAGTGGCGAGGCGTGTACGATCGATTATCGATATTTCCCCATTTGAAGCAACCAAATAGCATTGTCATCTACTTTCTAGGTGGAGCTCATCAAGAAAATATCTACTTTCTAGATAGAACAATTTTTTTGAAAGAAAATAGGTATAAAGTAGATCTAGAAAATAGACACAAGAGAATAGAAAAAAAAAACACATTTTTTCCTTGCATTTTCTTACATTAACAAATTGTTAAACATTAAGAAATTGGCTAGAAAATAATTCTACTTTCAATAAATTTTCCATCTTTTTTCCAACTGAAAAGTTGACAGAAAGTAGACCTATGAAATAGATCTATTTTCTTTGGTCAGACTTTTGACTCGCAATGTTTTTTCTTTCTATTTTCTGGATAGCTCTCATTTTCTTGGTATTTTCCAGAAGTTTTCTTAATATTTTTTTTTTTTTAGAAAAAAATTCTATTTTCCTACTTGGGAATGGTAAAAGATCGATTATTAAGGTGTTCGCTGCGAACAATCTGTTTATCGATCCTTTTCGATAGGTTTAAATGACATATCAATCGATACATCGCAAAGCACGCTACGCCACTAGGGTGCATACACCGCCGTGTCGTCGGAAATAGCAGTAACGAGTAACGACAGTCTCGGAAACGGTTTTTTTTTAAATTTTGTATTAATTGGGTTAAAATGAGTTGAAAAATTCCCACTAGAGAACTCAATTTGTTTTACCGGCGAAAAACAAAAGTTGACAACGAGCAAGTATTGAGGCGCTAAATTTGACGTTATTTTCTACAAAACAGCGGCATGTCCACACTATCTCGTTAAAAAGCAGTTCCTAGTGAAGTTTTGTAACTATTAGCACCCTTTTCTCTCAGAAATATTTCACAAACAGGAATAATTTATCACCAACAATATTTGAGACCTGATCCCGAGAATGAAATTCGAAGGATGGAAGAGTACAAAAAATGATGAATTAAAATATGAGAGAGAGAGATCAGAGAAAAATTGTTGGTGATTCAAATCAAATCATGTGTAGAAAATGATGCCGCGTTTGGCTACTACTTGGCAGGCCAATTGATGTTCAATTTTATGTTTGGCTCATACATTTTTCCACCATCAATGAAACATTTGAAAGTGTGGCACTTCAGATCAGAGTCATAGGGGTATAAGTCAGAACAAATAGAGTGCATCAACCGTATTCAAAAGAGCCTTCAACTGGTGAGAATACGATATGCATCGCACGGCGTCTACCGAATTCACTCGTAGGTCAAGTTCTGGTAGTTCAAGTTCATTATTTTAAGACCTTCCCGTAAACAGAATATTTTACCTCAAATTTTACGCCCCTGCCTAACGGAATCAGTGGCGTGGAGTGAATGATCGATTATCGATATTTTCCCATTTGAATCCGTGGTAAAGAATCGATTATTAAGGTGTTCGCTGCGAACACCCTGTTATCGATCATTTTCCGTAGGTTTAAATGACAGATCAATCGATATATCGAAAAGCACGCCACGCCACTGAACGGAATATACCTTGCACCGATTGCCTGCATTCTGCCAATGAAACTGGATGAGTTTCCATGAGCAACCGGAAATACTAGCGGCGAGCGTTTCCGCGATGGAGCGGTAAAAATAAAAATTAGAATGTAAATTTTAAGCGGTAAATATTCATATTCCTTCTGTACCACGTCCAGAACTCGTTAATCGTTATCACTGAGCTTGATTTTTCAAGGTTACCCAATTGATAGTCAAATCTTACAAAAAAAAAAAAAAAAAAAAAAAAAAAAAAAAAAAAAAAAAAAAAAAAAAAAAAAAAAAAGGCGAAAAACTGTATTCAATGCAGTCTCTTTGGCCTTCAAGAGTTCAATAATTATCATTACTGGGGTCCTAGTTTGAGTAAACAAAGTTTTATTTCTTCGAAATTTTTTCTGAGTGTGCAGTTGTGCACCTCATCACCAATCATCTATATAATCCACGGAGTCGTTGACCGTACAAATCGGATCTTTAGACTAATATTTTCTTCTCTCCCCTTTCACCTCAAAATAATTTACTCAAGAAGGATTTAAAAGAATTTTAAAAATGAGTCAGGCTGATTAGTCTGATAAGATACCGACTTTATTTTAAAGGGTGGTTTGATGTCATGAATTTTTATTTAGGATGGCTTGTCCCAAAAAACAGATTAATACACTCTGGCTCAACTTTATAATAACGACCAATACATGATATTCCCATGTTTTTTGAGAGAGTCTCATATCACGACTTGCTGATAAAAAATTGAAATAGAACAGTATAATGTAATAAATATTTTGATTGATGGTTAACTGAATCGTAAAGAAATTCTTCAATTTTCATTTACATCATTTCCAGTTTTAAACTTGTTCTGTGAATGGTTTGTTGGGTTTGCCGAACAAAAAAAAAAAAGCTCACGTTAGGTATCTAATCGCTTGCAGATGCAGAATGTCCTATTACGTGTTTGCTTTCTTTATCTGATTTTATTTTGCATAATAATTTACTGTATAAAGTTGATCGCCCGATATTATCTTATTCATTTTATGTAAGCGTATACCATTTTATCGGTGAGCTTGTAGCGGTAACTTCAATTTAAAATGCAGCGGAGTGAACCTACACTAAATGGCGCGTAATGGTGAAACTGTTTGAAGCCTTTGAACTTGGCTTATTTTGGCTGTAAACCGGAAAGAGGTATTTCATTATAAAAGCTACGGGACTTTGAATGATTTTCGCTGTTTAAAGATTGTGCTAAATAGCAGTTTACATCAGTATGTCCACCCTCCGCGTACAAAAATAAATCGTCAACGAAAAGATTACTTGCACCCATTTTATTTTTCATCGTAACAAGGATTCTTTCCCACCTTATTTTGCACTTATTGATCTTGCAACAAATTTGTATTTCTTTAAAAGTTAATCTTTAAAAATAGTCAAATAAGTACGATGGTTGCTCATAATAAAGACAAATACACACATTCAACATAAATTATAACTATGCACTGCATTGCAGACATTTTTTAGAATATTTCAGGAAAAATCTCAAAATGTTCAGGAATCATGTCCCTTAGTTCGCTACTTGAAAATGGAAAGAAATTAAGAATACCTGCAATATCGACGTTCCTTTTTTGTAAAATCTCATCCAGGTAATGGATAGGAACATGATGAATGTGATGATTATTATTGTTCTAGAGAAGACTGACGTCCCAAGTAACAGTGATCGCGATGAATGACAATTTTATCGGTTGGTTATCGCGATCATATCGGTGGCAATATGTCGAGATATTATCGCATTAAAAATTGCAAAATATGTATGACGATTGAATAGCTACAAACTGCAATTTTTGGTTCCATAAAATCCCGATCAATTTTCGTCGAGAAAATCGAGATTAAATCGCCATTTATCGCGATTTTTATTTCGAAAAAATCGCGATTTTATGCCGATAAGATCTAGGATAATCGATCAGATGTTGATGATCCTAGCGATTTTATCGCCGATAAAATTGCAATGCATCCCGATTTTTCCGTAAGAATGCTACGTCGGGTATTGTCTAAGCGTAGTGAAACTTAGGAAACAACTTTCCTTTTTGTTGAAACATGCAAAAATTCATTATAATTCATTCTCATAGAGAATAAAAAAAAAAAACTCCTGCATTATTCACCGCATTCAAAGTCAGATGTAAAACCATTTAAATTTTTCGAAATCCTCCGTCAAATGTTCAAAACGCAGCCAAAAATGTTCACCAAAAATTTTATAATTGAACGTTAGTTGAGATGCGCCGGAAAAAATTTTTAACCCGGGATTTTGAAACGCTGTAATCGACACGCGAGTTTTACTAGTTTCACCGTTGATATCGCACATAAAAGCCGACCCCTCGTCTGCCGTGCTAAGGAAGAACGCCGTATGTGCCATCAGACGTTGCCAGATTTCCTTCTAAAAACGACGAATTTTTTAAGGAAAATAATATTTCTCCATCGATTTTTCGGAGGATTTTTATCGAAACTTGATCTAAAAAATCAGAAAATTTCGAGGAAAAATATCCACACTGAAAAAAAAAATATAGGTGTATTTACTAAGAAAAGGGTAAAATTACCAAGAATTCAGGGGTCTATTTGATCCCAGTTTTTTCTAGGTAAAATTACCATTTATGGAATTGGTAATTTTTGAACTTTCTCGGTAATTTTACTGGACCTTGGTAAAAACGCCAATATTTTTTATCGATGGTGGTAGAATTACCGAGATAAAATGGCAAAGTTACCGGGAATTGATTACCAATAAAAGTGGTATTCTTACCTGAAAAACAGTAAAAATACCGGTTTTTGGGTAAGCTTACCAGCCTTTCTTGGTAAAATTACCAATAATTGGTAAAAAGAGTAAGATGGTAAAGGTACCAACGGACCTTGGTAAAAACGCCGAGAATTTTTTTTCAGTGCAGAACTTTCTTCAAACATAGATATTTCCTGAGAGGAAATTTGGCAACATTCGAATGCTCATACGGCGTTTTTCCTTAGCACGGCAGTAGTTGCTTCAGGCGTGAAGAAAATCTCCTCGGTCCATAATGCGCTTAGAGTTCATCGCTCGGTAGAACCGCGCGCGAAAGGTAGTCACCGGGTAAATCGTAAGCGAAAATGTGACAGTGATCTGCAAAATATTTCATTCACGGATGATAATTTAATAATCTAAGAACCGGTTCTGAATAAATTAGAATTTCAGATTTCGAACCTTTTACTTTGATTGCAAACATGCACGCCCCCTTAATTCCAGTCATTGCAGTGGAGTCATTGAAGAATCTGATCGTTGTTGCCTGGCTAGATACATTTTGTTACTGCACAATCGCAAATATATGGAACCTTCTTTACGACGGAATAAAGATCATTTCATTTTTACGGGTCGTACACACCTATGTAACTTTGGATGCGTACCCCTTATTTTGAAGGCGCTCTCAAGACAGTCGCTGTGTAATGAGGTGTATGGTA